AGTATTAAAATATATTGAGATATATGTTGAAGTTGATGCTGGTCAGTCTTCATCTTTACCGGTGCATACAACCACTACTACACAATGTACTGGTCAAGAAGATACAGTTGTACGATCTTCTGCCCCTCCTCGGGTAGCATTGGATGAGGATGAAGATGAGGAATATGTGGACAGCGAAGATGAGGGAGAACACGAAAGTGCTATTCCATAAGGTTATTCGTCAGACACTGACGTGGACAGAAATTTTGACGCTGACACGAGCGCGGTAAGTCTGGGTACCCCAGCCTTGTCACCACTTCATGTAGACCCAGTCAGCAGTGGTAAGTTATTAAATTTGGACATTTGCTTTAGACAATTTATTATTTGTGGTGGTATTCATTCAGACAAATGAGAGTTGATCTTTAGATGTAGGGACTGCGGTGGAGCCTTTTTGGAATGAAAGCCAACATTATTCATTCATTAATTGGGCGCACCCTAAAGACGAGTTGGAGATCCTATATGGGGATGATGACTTGCACAGAGGTTGGAAGTTAGGATATCCATTATTTGTGCAACAAGAATTTGGCTCCAAACCAGAAATGCAACATGCTGTGAAGATACATTGTATGAAGGGGCGTAGGACAGCCATAGTCGAAAAAAGCGACGAGTCAAGATTTTTTATGAAGTGTAAAAACCATGCTGACGGTTGTCCCTGGTATATGAGGGAAATCAAGCCGAAGAAGGGAGCTAATTGGGTGGTCCGTAAATGGGGTCAAGATCACACATGCCTGAATCAGGGCCTATCGCAGGATCATAGACAGTTGGATTCAGATGTCATTTGTGCGGCTATAATGAGTATGTATTCTTTCGTGTACTTAGTGAAGCTTCTTATTGAGAATATGGTAAAGTTGTGTTTTTTTTACAGATATGTTAAAGGAAGATCCATCTACAAAACCAGTTCTGATTCAAGAGAGAATACAGAGAATATATGGATACAACATATCGTACAGGAAGGCCTGGAAGGCAAAAATGAAGGTCATTGTTAAGTTGTATGGTGACTGGGAGAAATCGTACGGATTCTTGCCCAATTGGCTAACGTATATGACGCAGGTGAATATGGGTTATGTGTTCAAGCTTGATACAAATCAATGTTTTGACGAACGTCGGGTTTATACAGACAGGGCCATATTTCACAAGTTTTTTTTGGATATTTCACCAATGCATTGAAGCATTCAAATACTGCAAGCCTATAATTCAAATTGACGGCACTCATCTGTATGGGAAGTACAGAGGAACTCTCTTGATGCAACATCTCAAGATGGAGATGGATATCTGCTCCCTATTTCCTTTGTTGTTGTTCCTCCAGGTGAGAGGTTGGATGATTGGTCCTAGTTTCTTAGCCTTTTACGTTTTCATGTCACACATAGGCAAGGTATTTGTCTAATATTCGATCGTCATCGAAGCATCATAAGGGTGGTGAAAGATCACGTTGGGTGGCAGCCTCCATATGCTTATCATGTATTTTGTCTACGTTACATCGGAAGCAACTTCAATACCCGCTTTAGGAATGTGGAATTGAAGAAAATGTTGATGAAATTAGGTAATGTACAGTATAATTACTCACAAATATATTTTTTAATCGTAACTAACCAATTGCATATGTGATGCTTGTTTTGCAGGGTACACATGTTCAAAGATAATTTTCAACATTAGATACAACAAATTTATCGAGAATAATCCTGAAGTTGCTTCATGGTTGGATGCGATTCCGAAAGAGCAATGGTGCAGGTCGTATGATGAGACAGGACGTAGGTTTGGTCATATGACAACCAACCTATCTGAGTGTGTGAATAAGGTGCTTCGTGGAACACGTAATCTGCCGATAACTGCATTGGTCAAGATGACATTCAGTAGACTCGTTGAGTATTTCGTCAAGAGACGTGAAGCGATTGAAAAAGATATCCCACAAGGTTGGATAATTTCAAAGAAGGTTGAGGCAACTTTGCAAAATAATGATGAATTGGTCGGCACTTATCGTGTGAGGATATATGATAGTGAGCTGTTATTGTTTGAGGTTGAGGATGCCTAAAATCAATCTACACACGAGGTTGGTGACACCATGAGAGTGGACTTAATCAATCGTACTTGTCAGTGTGGTAGGTTTACAGCAAGGAGGTATCCCTGCAGCCATGTATTAGCAGTTTGCAAGGCAGCCAAGTTAAACCATTATGATTATGTGGATCATATTTTCAAAATCCCTACCATTGCTAAAGTATATGTTGCACACTGGTTTCCTATTGCCAATGAATTGTTGATTCAATCCGTCATTGGGCCTACTGTAATTCCGGATGCACGGTTGGTACGTGCAAAAGGAAGACCAAAGTCTTCAAGGATTCAGAATAAGATGGATTGGGTTGAGTCTCAACCCTCGAGCAGTCAGAGAAGATGTAAGCATTGCAAGCAAGTTGGACATAACATTCGTACATGTCCATTGAGGCTAAGACAAGCATGATTATGTATTATTTCCATGTAGTATTTTGTTTTGTAATGACATACGGTTTTCTTATTATGTTGTGTATTGTTGACTTGTATTGTTGTGTATTGTTTATGGTACCCTAAACCCTATATTGTATTAGTTATGTATTGTGTTGCATAACATACATATTACAAAAACACAATAATTTCAAATGAGGGAGGGACAAACATCAAAATCAGAACAGATTTGATAACAACGAAAAAAAAATGAACCTTGGCTGCAAATTCAATCGGTAGAAGGAAGAGATTCACACGTGCGCGAACTGATGATCACAAAAACGAAGAATTTGAGCAAGATTTCGTATGAGAATCGCGCAACCAACACACCTCCAGCAGCTCTACTCGGGTACCCCTTTGTGGGTTTTTGAAATGGGGCTGCTGGGTTATATAAAAACCCTACCGTCGAGATTTACCAGGGTACACCCCTCCCTACCGGGTAAATAATTCAAGCAATTTCCCAGAACTCAAGAACTATACCCGGGTACACCCCTCCCTACCCGGGTATGCATAAAATTTCAAAAACTATACCCGGGTACACCCCTCCCTACCCGGGTATGCATAAAATTTCAAAAAATACCCGGGTATGGAGGGGTGTACCCGGGTAGGCTTCATGGTCAACGGTCAAACAAGGGCAGATTGGTGTTATGTTTTTTGGAGAGGTTAAATTTTCGAAATAGTTTATGATGAAAGTCAATTTGATAATTAATTATTAATAAAGGGTTACAAGGGTCAAAAAGCCGTGTGATGGAGAAGGAAAAGAGTGTGATGGAAAAGAAACTATGTATGATTATTTCCAAAAAAAAAAAGAAACTATGTATGTGAAATACAAATTTGGGAAGGAAAATAAATATAACCTCTTAAAAATAAATAATTTCACTAATATAATTAACAATTATGAAGTTAATAAATAAATGTAGTGTTACTAGGTTAATTTAAAATAAACTTACTATATATTAGTTGAATGTTAGTATTTATCAATAATTTATTGTATACATTTTCGTGTACTTTTAATTTATTACCTCAATTGTGATTTACAAGAATTAAATATATTCTTTTAGTACAGGAGGTTTCACCACAATCTCTCCAGGTGATTGTTCATTTTGTCCCTGTTTTGAATTTTTTTATCACTTTATCCTTCATCTCAAACTATAATCTACCGCTCTTCTCGTACTATACATCAATATGGCGTTCTTTGGTCCAGGTCCATATAATTTATAAATATTCTCTCTCATATGTAAAGGATAAAAAAAGAAAATAAAAAAAAAAACAGGAATAAAATGGTCAATTTTTATTTTTTTTTTATTGTGAGTGGAACCAAGGAAAAATTACATTGGCCGGGATCATGTAAATTTTTTCCCATTCTTTGACCAAAATTTGGTTAACACTTAATTAAATAAGTCATTTGTTGGAGTGAATGACTTACCAGTTACCACGTACAAGAATTTGGTTAAATTTTGGTCAAACATATAATTTGAGAAAAGAGACAGAATAAAATAAGGATAAAATGGTTAATCAATCTAATTTCTTTAGATATAACTGAATACGATTATTCATTCGTCAAACATATAATTTGAGAAGAGAGACAGAATAAAAAGGTTAATTAATCTAATTTCTTCAAATATAACTGAATACGGTTCAGGAATATCTTTAAAAAATATTCCATGATCTCGAAATAGCGGCAACATATTATTCTTCCTCGATTCAGCGTACTCATCTAATGTAATTGCATTCTCCACCCTAGCTAATCTCATTAATTTGAGCGTTGGAGTCTTTATAAGTACAAACCTCGTTGGTATGAACGGAGCACAACCACAAACCATAATAAAAAGTAAAATAAAATTAAGAGGAGGAGCGGTTTCAAATCGTCAAGATGCCCCCCCTCCTTATTATAAATCTTTATTTTGTGTTATAAAGGTCTTAATTTCGACGTGGAGAGAAGAGAGAGATACGTTAAAGTTAAAACAAAATGATAAGATTCGAATTTAATCTCGAAAATGGACAGTTATCTAAGAATATCATCCCTCGTATATATCCATTGGTGCATAATGCTAAAGTGACAATTTTGATATTTATTTTTTCTTTTGTACGTGCCGTTGGTTTTATAATGATGTGATAGTGATGTTGTTATCTAGCTGATATGATAAGAAATTGCCGACATGTATTAATTTAGTGTTGTAGCTTACCATGTTGCATTCAGTTCCGATTCCCGAGTGAGTTAAGTAACCTTTTATCTAATTTTTTTTTTCCTCCTCTTCTCTTCTCTTCTCTTTATCAGTGTGAGTGTTTAGTTTAGTATTGTGATATTGTGAGTGCATGCTCACAGTCTCACTCATTGCACGTTTCCCTGTTCCCCCTCTCCATCAATATATCTATCCTTCTATCCTATCTCCTCTTCTCTGTATCGAAACCCCCAAACAAACCCCATTCTCTCTCTCTCTCTCTCTCTTTGAGTGAAACAAAGAAAGAACAAAAATTAAAAAAAAAACATGGACATGTACGGTTCCATTTCCACCTCTCCAGATTGCTTGCGAATTGATGACCTTCTTGACTTCTCCAACCACCCTCTCACCACCGCTGATTCCGACCACCACCAACACCTTCCTCCGCCGCAACACCCTTTCACCCACCAATTCTCCGACGACTCCAATTTCTTTACCAATTTCCCTTCCATCCCCGTAAGCCTATACTACATCTACATCTCCCATTCTTTTACTTTCTTTTTCATTATTATTATTATTTTCGTTAGTTTCATTTCCACTCATTTTTATTTAGGGTTTAGTGTTTCTAGTATAAAATGAGACATCATGTGATTTTGAGATTTGAAAAAAAAAAATTATAAATATTTTTCGAAAAATTCATGTTGTATATATAAAAAAAAACTCTTGAAAATCATGAAATTTAATTTCTAAAACTGAATATAAGGTAGTTTTGGATTATAGAGAAAAACATTTTTCTTTTATTTATTTATTTACTTATTATTATTATTATATTTTTTTAATGGCCCCAGAGCGAAGAAGCAGCGGAACTCGAATGGCTTTCTCAATTCGTCGACGACACGACGTCGTTTCACGATTTCCCACCGAACCAGATCATGCCAATGGGATCATCTCACGCGACGTCGTTTCTTAACACTAACGATATTAGTAATAAGAATAATTCCAAATCATCGTCGGGCGCTCCGGTCACCGGAAAATCAAGATCGAAGAGGGAGGCGAACGGGACCGGAGAGGCAGGGGTTCAGAGGTGCAGCCACTGCGCATCGGAGAAAACGCCGCAATGGCGAACGGGACCGCTGGGGCCGAAGACGCTGTGCAACGCTTGTGGTGTGAGGTTCAAATCGGGTCGGCTCGTACCCGAATACCGACCCGCATCTAGCCCCACATTCGTGCTGACTCAGCACTCCAACTCGCATCGGAAAGTCATGGAGCTCCGTCGCCAGAAGGAGCTGCTCCGTCAACAACACCAGCACTAGCAAGAGCAATGCTACCGTCACAAGCACGACTTCAAAGTCTGCTGACGTGTCCCTTGTCGGTGCTCTTTTTTTTTTCTTTCTCTCTCTTTATTTTCACATTACTTTAATATTATATTACTATATTATGGTGTATCCATTATTATCCAGTGCCATTTGCTCAATATGACAACATTCAATAATCAGTACCACAAATTGTCAAACAGAGTTAGTACTTTAATTATTTTTCTTTTTTGGTTTCTTTGATGTTTGTTACTTGGAAGGCTCTCTGATCTCAAATTGAGTAAAATTTTGGTTTTCTTTATTTATTTATTTACTTTATTTTATTTTTATATCTTCTTGTGGGTTGGCTAGGGAAGCTACACTAATGAGGGCAATTGAATTGACCTTTTGTGAGGAAAAAAAGAAGAAAAAAAGGTGGTTCTTTATTGTTAGGGTTTTAAAGCTTCAAGTCCTCAACTACCATTTGCTGCTTTTTCACTTCTTCCACCAAACTCACATTCAAAGTATGAGACTAGCACGTGACATAGCGCCAAATGAGGCCAATTTTGGATACAATATTAATCCTGCTCAGAATCTCAGATCCTGTATGTATTAGAAATGTTATTTTATATATGGATTTTATAATTTTCATGTTGAAGGAGAATTGAAATCTCATATTGTATAGATAAAAAGTACGTAGGATCCATGTGTTAGAAAAAATTATATGTAGAACTCATGTCAGCACGGAAATTGAAGGGTGTGTAAGAAAATTATAATTCTCATGTTAAATGAGAATTATAAAACTCTTTGTATATGTATATATACACGTGAGTATCGATCGTTTAATGTTTGTTTAAAATTCTTGATCGCGATATAAACATAATTATTAACCTATATATTATTGCATGATATTCAGAATGAATGATTATTTCATAAATGTTTTATTTATTTATTTATTCTTCAGTGTCTGTCATCAGTATATAAGAGAATGAGGGAGGTACGGATTACACAGCTGTGAGTTACATAATGGGATGTAGGGCGTTAAAAGCTTTAGCGAGTGAACAATTTGATGGTTTCAGAACTAAATTTGCTCTAATTATACACATTTAACTTGTTCTATATAATGTCATTGTTCACTTGTTCGGTTTTTCTTTCAAGTTTCAACCCAAAGATTAGGAGAGGAAGCAATTAATTCTTCTTCTTAACTAAAATGTAAGTAATACTTACTATATATGTGTCTATTTAAAAATTATTTTTGAAGTGACAAGATTTTTATGCAGAGAAGTCCAACACAAACATATATATATTTGTGTAAATTAGCTCGTGGAAAGAAAAGAATTTCAATTTGATCTTCACATGCCACCTTGGAAGATTTAAATATCTTCATCCTTAACCCGCTCCGTATTCTATATTAGTATCATAGCCGACTCAAAGAGTCAAAGTTTGTGAGGATACCGTGAAGAGCCAACTCGAATTAGGATTGGGTTAACTTATATATATATATATATATATATATATATATATATATATATATATATATATATATATATATAGGTAGGATCCTTTGACACTGATATCAAATTTGAAATTTGACACCTCATTTGATAGTCGTTAGATCAAAAAAGATCAACGACTCTGATTTGTAAGCATGTGACACTAATGTCAAAGGATCCTACCTATATATATATATATATATATATATATGGGGAAAACTACTCTTATGCAACATGAGAGTAGTTTATCTCTTATAGACCCATCGAAAATTGTGACATTCTTTTTTCTTTTTCTTTTTCTTTTTTTTTTGTAGATAGTGGACCCCATTACATGTGTCTCTATAACATAAGATATCATTTCTCATGTAACATGAGATTAGATGAACTATATATATATATATATATATATATATATATATATATATGGGGTTTGATTTTCTCATGTTAAATGAGAATTCAATTCTCATGTTGTAGAGATAAAAAGCATGTGGGACCCAGGTGTTAGAAAAAATTATATGTAGGACCCATGTCAGCACGGAAATCGAAGAGTGTGTAGGAAAATTCGAATTCTCATGTTAAATGAGAATTATAAAACCCTATATATATATATATATATATATATATATATATATATATATATATAGGGTTTTATTTTTCTTATGTTGCATGAGACAAGTTGTCTCATGCAACACACAAAAAGTGAATGAGACCCACTAAAAAAGAAGAGAGAGAAAATAAAAAAGCGGGTCCCACCCACTTTTTGTGTGTTGTATGAGACAACTTGTCTCATGCAACAAAAGAAAAATAAAACCCATATATATATATATATATATATATATATATATATATATATATATTCTCATTACTATATTGAATCAAAGCAATTAAATGGTGATAGTTCAATTGGTAGTAAGAGAACTGAGTAACTGGAAAGAAAATGGCTTCGGTTCGATCCCCACATGCCACCTTTGGGAAGGATTTTAATATCTTCATCCTGACCTGCCCCGTACTCTGGATTAGTCCTATAGGCGGCTCAAGAGTTGAAACTTGTGGGGATACCGGTGGGAGCCAACTCACCTCGAAGAGATAATTAAAGTTCAGTTAACTAAAAAGAGAGAAAAATGTGTGTCTTTTTAAATGACACAAACTTAAGTTCTTTTAAGAGAGATATAGACACAAAGAGAGTCCCACTAAAAAAATAAAGACAAAAAAATAAATAAATAAAGATATGGGTTCTACCTCTTTGTGTCTATCTCTCTCTTAAAAAGATCTAAATTTGTGTCATTTGAAAGAATTAATATTTTTCTCAAAAATAAAAATAAAATATAGAATCAAAGCTGGCTAAAACAACGTAAGGATCTAACTTCTTCTTTAATTATCAAAGTCAATTCTAAAGTAATGCTCATTAGTTATTGAAAATAAAAAGTTTAAATCTATACTGTATATGAAATTAATTTACAAAAAAATAAGTTTAATAGTTTTTGAACATCATTTTCATTTTAATTTAATTGTATTTTATAATAATACAATGAATTTTGTGTTTTAATTATGTTTCTTTATAATAACTGCATGAAATAGTGCAATAAAAGCGAATTTTTCTCTCTAAAAAAAACAAACAAAGACACATATATATTCGATCTATAAGTAATCTTATGTAAAGAGAGTCATATCATTTGACTCTCCACCTAAAATCCCCACTTATGTTATCAAAAAAAAAAAAAAATCCCCACTTATGATATAGTTTGTGATCTCTCCCAATTTTATAAGTATGTGGAAAAAAATAAAAAATTTACAATGTTGTTGACAGAAGCATTAAATGCTCCGAAATTTCAACACCCAAACATCTGAAATTCGGGGTGTGGGATGGATATAAAGTTTAATTTCTTGTAAGTACTGCCACGTCAAATTAGCTAGAGTCGGTGCTTTAGAGAGTAGAAGCTTGAGTTGGGTCATGCGCGCGAGAAAGCATAATTTTTTTTTCCTAATAAAAATTTACTTGCATGACCACGTGCGGAGAATCATGGTCAATCTAATCGTGAAAAAAATTAAAATATTATTTTTTAATAAATAATTATCAATAAGTTACTGGTTTAAACTTAATTACGAATATAATGTATTTATTTACGTTTAAATTGGGCGTGACCATTCACGCTTAAGTTAAGCGTAACTCCCAAGGCATTTCACGCCTAATTTAGGCGTGACTCGTCTGGTGTTAACACGTGGTACAAAAAATTAACAGTTTAACCGTAAAACTTCATAAGGCCATGGTTTTTGACTCAGGTATCTGAATCAGGTATTTCGTTTTTTGATTCCACATAATTTTTCAAGATCTATGCAATGACATCTCATTTGATATATTTTATCTCTCACAAACATAGTTCAAATTTTATTTCTCACGAAAATGTATTAGTCCATCTATAAATAAGGATACTTAATGTCATATTAAAATATATACTTATTATAATATATACTTAATGTCATATTAAGGATACTTAATGTTTGAAAAAAAATTAGTGTACAAGGTTATTGAATCGCAATACGTATCATGTATCGGTTGACCGATTTTTCATATCGAAAATCATATTGAATCGTAAGATACAGAAATATAATAAAAAATTTAAAAATATATAACTTTTTTATGACTTTTATCAAACCGTATCGTAAGTTACATTTTGCTGTTTTATGACTTTTTTCTTTAAAGCCATTTAAATTATGCATGCCTAAGAGAAAGAAAAAATAAATACATTTAAAAAAAAAAGGACTAATGGGTATAAGAAAAAAACTAAACTTGAAATTGAATCATGAACTATAGAGTTTGGAAACGTCTTTGATACAAAACAATGACTGAGTCTTTATGGCTGGATTCGTTGGAAGATTATAGCTTATGAATGGTTTTCAAAAATAAAATCCTTCTTCCTTAGAGATTTAAAATATTTATTTAATTATTTTTTTTATTATACAGATTTTTCAAATTGATTTGTGAGTTTAAATCACAAATCAAATCTTTATTTTTTTTCCTTATTAATAATAATTTTTTAAATTTTTTAATTTAAATCACAAACCAAATATTTATTTATTTTTTACATTAAAAATTAAAAATTTGTTTTTTTTTAATTTAAATCAAAAATTAAATCTTTATTTATTTTTTATATTAAATTACAAATCCAGAACTCGGAGGCTTCTAGGTTTAAACACTCTTATAATACCATTATTGCAAATTTGATTTGTGTTTGCGAAAGATAAAATAAGTCAAATATGGTGTCATTGCATAGATCTCAAAAAAATTTGTAGAATAAAAAAAATTACATGATTTGGATACCTGAGTCAAAAGCCAAAAAGTTATGGCTTTCCAAAGATTTACGGTTCGTAAGTTGACTTTTTTGTGCCACGTGTCAACACCAGACGAGTCACGCCTAAATTAGGCGTGAATGTCTTGGGAGTCACGCCTAACTTGGGCATGAATGATCACGTTTAATTTGGGCGTGAATGAATGTAATAGATTCGTAAATAATTTCGAAACAGCTATATTTTCGTTATTA